TTGCCATCCATTTCATTATAGGGTAATTGGGTGCCAATTGGCGGAGGCAGGGTGGGGTAGAGTTAGTTTAAAATTATAATAAAAAATAAATTTTATAATAAGTTAACTCCACTCAAATTTTTTTTTTTGAAGAATTAAAAACTTAGACTCAATGTCCGCTCGTACAAACATAATCTCACAATTCTTTCTTTAGTCTCTAATTATATTTATTCCTTCTGTCTTCTGTAACGACTCACTTAAGTTACCAAATTAATTTTTCTTCGAATTCGATTATTAAGCCGGAGATTAATATTTTTTTACCAATTATCCAAGTTCAAATATAGTATATCATATTCTAAGATTTTAGATTTAGACATAACAAATTTTGATCTGATGATGATTTAATTCTTTTTTTTGTTGTTGGTGGATTATGATTTAATTCACTTCGATTCAATTTGATATGTATACACAAATAAACATTTGATGAAAGTAAGCGATGAAATTAAATTAAAATTACAATGTAGTAAACATATATATATTAGATTGGATTTTTAATCAACTTCATAATATTTAATGGATTATAAAAAACGAAAAAAGTTGAATAATTAAATTAGATTCAAAATAAAGTTTTCAAGTCAAATTGTCATATGGATGCGTCAAAATCTTATCATTGGCAAACCCACTTACAAAGTGATATGTCAAAATATTATCCTTTATAAAGATTGTTTTTATTCTAACACTTTATACAAAAAAAAAAAAAAATTTACATTAGTTTTTCTTAGTCAAGTCTTATCTTTTTCACATGCGTTTATATGTGAAATCTTTGAACATAAAAAAAATAATATGAAGAATTATTTTATAAAAAATGTCAATAGATTAGGATAATTTATTTTTTTATAGAGAATGAAATATTAAGAAAACAATCATGTTCACAATATGCAATAAATTTTAATAATTGTTGTGCAGTCATTCTCTATAACTTAATGGTTGCCCCACTACGAAAGTGCTCTGCCCCTATATAACTCTAAGCTAGGAAATATTAGACACCAACCAAGAATACAAAGAGATTGGCACAGATTAGAATAACTATAACATAAATCGGTTAAAACACGATTTATACACTATATGAACCCAACAACAAATTTGGCTATACATGATTATAAATAAATAATTTTTTAACACAATACAATTTAGACACAACATGAATTCAACGTGACAAGATTTATTATTGAAATCCTTACATATAACCTTATTGCCTTCACGCTATATGTGATAGATACCGGAGTTCCTGCGAGTTTGATTTACTTTTTAGTTGTATTGGCTAGGTTAAGAAGGGACGAGCTGTAAATTCAAGGGGTAACTCAAGAGATAAAAATGACAACTTGTAAATACAGATGTCCTGAGTTCAAATATTAACAATCTTTTAGAATCAAATTATGAGAAATTTATCGTTTATGAATGTCCTTGTTCCGACATAAATAACTTTGAACAATTGACATGTTTGTCACAACTTAGGTCAATTCGTACCATGCAAATATATCATTATCCCTATACTCTTATCTTTTTAGTATCGTAGTAGGGATTTGATTTAATTGAAAGATACGACTCAAACAAGTTAGATTACTATTTAATAGCATCAATTACAATCGCTTCCAAAATTTTATATAACATAATAAAATCATAATTTTAAACTACTTCAATCATAACTTGACCTAATTAAGTCGTGATTTAAAAGAAAAAAATTCACATAAAACCGAATTGGGTATCATAAACTTTCCCATGATGCCTACGTTATCATAATGAGTGAAACTGCCGCCTGCTTTTGCTCAAGTAGCAGCCAGATCAACATTGCTGTCACCTACCTAAAAAGAGGTCTTAGGTGTAGGGATTAGCGTCCTCAAAACGGCAGCTTAACAACGTGGAAAGGCTGTAAGATTCTGAGCAAAATATGCCTAAAATCCAAGTGATTTTGTTCCTAAACCACTTCTTCTTTAATTTATTTTGTGGAGCACTTGCCTGCTCCTCCAACCCATGTTTTGGTATGACACTTTTACTAACTACCCGATTTGTTTGTTTGTTTTTTTTTTCAATTCTTAGGTGTAAAAACTTAGTTGTTGAACCGACCCCAAGAATTTTTTTAAAAGCCTATATTAAAGCGTAAATTTCAAATACCTATAATTAACTGACGTCGATTGAATGTGCCATTGAGAGTTAGACTTAAAACTTCTAAGTTTATAGTTTGTTCAAACTATCTACACTNACAATTAACTGACGTCGATTGAATGTGTTATTGAGAGTTAGACTTAAAACTTCTAAGTTTATAGTTTGTTCAAACTATCTACACTATCATGCTATCCAAGTCGGTTAATCCTTAGAATTTTTATGATTTACAATTCGGGAATCNTCTATAACTTAATGGTTGCCCCACTACGAAAGTGCTCTGCCCCTATATAACTCTAAGCTAGGAAATATTAGACACCAACCAAGAATACAAAGAGATTGGCACAGATTAGAATAACTATAACATAAATCGGTTAAAACACGATTTATACACTATATGAACCCAACAACAAATTTGGCTATACATGATTATAAATAAATAATTTTTTTAACACAATACAATTTAGACACAACATGAATTCAACGTGACAAGATTTATTATTGAAATCCTTACATATAACCTTATTGCCTTCACGCTATATGTGATAGATACCGGAGTTCCTGCGAGTTTGATTTACTTTTTAGTTGTATTGGCTAGGTTAAGAAGGGACGAGCTGTAAATTCAAGGGGTAACTCAAGAGATAAAAATGACAACTTGTAAATACAGATGTCCTGAGTTCAAATATTAACAATCTTTTAGAATCAAATTATGAGAAATTTATCGTTTATGAATGTCCTTGTTCCGACATAAATAACTTTGAACAATTGACATGTTTGTCACAACTTAGGTCAATTCGTACCATGCAAATATATCATTATCCCTATACTCTTATCTTTTTAGTATCGTAGTAGGGATTTGATTTAATTGAAAGATACGACTCAAACAAGTTAGATTACTATTTAATAGCATCAATTACAATCGCTTCCAAAATTTTATATAACATAATAAAATCATAATTTTAAACTACTTCAATCATAACTTGACCTAATTAAGTCGTGATTTAAAAGAAAAAAATTCACATAAAACCGAATTGGGTATCATAAACTTTCCCATGATGCCTACGTTATCATAATGAGTGAAACTGCCGCCTGCTTTTGCTCAAGTAGCAGCCAGATCAACATTGCTGTCACCTACCTAAAAAGAGGTCTTAGGTGTAGGGATTAGCGTCCTCAAAACGGCAGCTTAACAACGTGGAAAGGCTGTAAGATTCTGAGCAAAATATGCCTAAAATCCAAGTGATTTTGTTCCTAAACCACTTCTTCTTTAATTTATTTTGTGGAGCACTTGCCTGCTCCTCCAACCCATGTTTTGGTATGACACTTTTACTAACTACCCGATTTGTTTGTTTGTTTTTTTTTTCAATTCTTAGGTGTAAAAACTTAGTTGTTGAACCGACCCCAAGAATTTTTTTAAAAGCCTATATTAAAGCGTAAATTTCAAATACCTATAATTAACTGACGTCGATTGAATGTGCCATTGAGAGTTAGACTTAAAACTTCTAAGTTTATAGTTTGTTCAAACTATCTACACTATCATGCTATCCAAGTCGGTTAATCCTTAGAATTTTTATGATTTACAATTCGGGAATCTGAGCTCAAAAGTAGTGAAACTCAAATTTGACCTAAAGACTGAAAAGCTTTAAGCTCAAGATAACTTGTATTGTGTCAATAAGGGTGGGTTTGTTTTCATCTAGCTCACACACATGTGAGTTCCAACAACTATAAACTCCTGTCCAAGAGCTCATTTAAGTGAAGTGAAGTGCATGTAACAAACATTGGTTTAATTGCGCATTAAGACATGCGTCTTCATGGGATGACAGAGATGTACAGGTGACTCCATAATAAAGAAGAGGGGCAGTTATGCCTAGCTACTTCAACCTCATCCGCTATTATATTGTCGTTTTAATGAAACACAGACAGATAGAGATGGAGAGCTTTAGCTTTCTTGTGAATGAAACAAGGGAACCTAATCCAAACACCTTTTGTGGTGGAGGTGATGGTGGCTAGCCCTTGTCAAGACCTTCCTTTGTCCTCCTTGCACTACTCTCTCTCTCTCTAACAAACACACATAAAGAGATAAACACAGTTTTCACACTACCCCCACCCTAAAGTAGGCTTTCAATCTGGTTGTTCCGTTTCATATTTATGCCGTGTTATATTCACAAGTGGTATCACAATCCAATGACATATTTCTATTTGGAAAATTGAATGCCACGTATGCTTATGCGGTAGTTATTGGGTTTGGTAAGATCCAAATTCTCTCAATTACACTTGCACTCAAATATTTCCTTCAATCATAGATCACCATTGTGTATGGGTGAGAGGTGTCTACTTATCAATTGTCGATTCTACCTGAATTCATGGTAGACGATATACAATTGTATGGAAGATGGTGAAATGCAATAGAGAGAATCTCAATTCGACTGAGTGATATTCACTTATTCAGATGAAAATAAATTATTAGATTATGATATTATGTGTTTCAATAATGATGTAATATCACTCTTATATGGATATGTACTTTGTGGGATAGTGTATGTGGCATCATTAGCTAATATACTAATTTAAAATCGAAGGGTGATACCATAATTTCACCATTAGAACAAACATAAAATTTTAACACGTCCCTCACTCAAAAGGGACAAAAAGTAGAGTTCATGACACAAAAGGAAGGAAGGAAAAAAAATCAAAAAGCATCACTAACTTTCTGTGAATCAAATGCCACCATGAACCACTTACTCAACAAAGAAATCAACTAGATATATAATGAATGTAGAAATATAAACGAATTTGAAGAATGAATTCTAAATAATCATGATTGATGATACAATAAAGAATAATGTTAATATTTCACAACTGATCAACAACAGAACATGGAGTCTTGATTTAGTAGTGGCAGTCAACCAGAGGAGACGAAGAGAAGACGATGACTTGTCCTTTTGATGCAAAGGGAAATTTGGTTTCCCGGCGATCCTCTTCCGGTGCCGGAAGGTTAAGGTCTAATGACAGGAGGTTTTTTTGTTTCTTGGTTTCTTGGGACTCGTCGGCACTGCTCGCTGCCACCGGCATCGGTCTGTGCCGCCGCATGTGACCGCCAAGGGCTTGGCCGGATGTAAATTCAGCTCCACACAGCGAACACTCGTGAACCTTAGTTTTGTTGTTACTGCATGGAACTCTGTTTGGAGTTTGAAGTGAAAGGATTGTGCTATGGTGGTTGAATTGATCATGCTCTTCCTTCAGCGACGCCAACTGTTTTTTCTCCTCTGCAGCGGCGATAGCTTTCCGGTGACTCGCTCGGTGGCCACCAAGTGCTTGAAATGAAGAGAAGCTCCGGTTACATGTCTTACATTGATACACACATAACCTAGGGCTGTTTGGCTCTGTGGAAACTGGGTCGGAAAATTTTCGACTTTGGCCTTGAGCCAAAAGAATCAGACAATTGGCCATGTCTTCTTCTTCTTCTTCACCTCTGTGTGCGAATTCTCTGTAGTAGGTGGGTGAGACGGTGACGCGATCATATCCGGTGGATTTGTCACTTGCACTGCCGCCTTCGGCGGTGCTACATGAGGTAGAAGCCATTGTTAAGGTTAGTGGGGACGCTGGTTTTTGTCGTTTGGTGCGCTTTCCCTTGATCATCTGATTGTGATCTTTGGACCCCATAACTTGTTCTTGAGCTTCCATGGTTCTGTTGGAGCTAAACAGAGAGAGGTCTGTGTGTGTGTGTGAGAGAGAGAGAGAGAGAGAGAGGGAGATGGAGGAAGCAAGGTAATAGAGTGGGGGTAGTTTTATAGAGAGAGAGAGAGAGAGAGAGGGAGGAGAGTGAATAAATAGAGGGATGTTTTTACTAGGGTTAAAAAGCCGTCCCCGTGAACAGTAACCGTGAATATCAGAGNGGGAGGAGAGTGAATAAATAGAGGGCTGTTTTTACTAGGGTTAAAAAGCCGTCCCCGTGAACAGTAACCGTGAATATCAGAGTATGTCCAACAATCTTTCTTTACATTCCCAACTTACGAAGTTATATATAGGCAACAACGCAGATGTCCATATTCACACACACACACACACACATACATATACATATATGTATATACAGAGAGAGGGGGGGAGAGAGAGAGAGGCAATGTAGTAAGAAGTATGAGGAGGTCAGGAAACGAGGGGAGATTCGGTTGGCTTTGAAGCAAACCCATTGCTTTTTGGCAACGATTCCTTGTGGAGGATTGGAGTGCAAGCCTGGCACCACAGAATTTGCGCTTCACCTCCCACTCTGTTTCTCTTCATATTAATATATATATATATTTGTCTATCTTAATTAGCTAATTATATAGTTTAGTGTAATTAAATTGGGTAATATTAATTCATTGTTTTCTTACTCTTTAGACTAAGTATATATATAATTAGGTCTTAACGAACTCTTTTAAGTATATATACTGATATACAAGTTGAAGTGGGTTGCATATAGGAGTAGTAGGGAGTGATTTTGTGGGAAAAGGGGGGCATAATTTGTTGTTTTGAGTTAATTAGTTTGGTATTTAGACACTAAATTAAGCAACTGCATGTGCACTACACCCACCCACCTTGTACTCTACAACATTGATGACTTGTTAAAAGGACTACGACCCAAAAATCACGCCGGCTTTATGCTTCATATTTTTTTAATTAATTAATTTATTATTTATTTTTCATTCAATGATTAGGGTTAGTAAAGAACAAACTAATGTGATATTCGGATCGAGTGAAATACCATGCACATATTCTTATCAATTTTTGTCTTTGCTTGTTCATTTATCTTGGATTCAAATGGGACAATATGACCTACTATCTATAACTGATGAGGATCCTCTGCTATTAAAAAATTAGCAGTAGAGAAGTCGGAGTCATATACAACGGGGCATCTCATGAGTACATGGCAAATAAAGTGCAAAAATTCATAAGAATAAGTGGTAATTTTAAACTAAGGCTATGTACTTTCCAATGGATCTATGAATTAATTAATTATTTATTATATTAAAATTAAAAAAAAAAAGAAAATCAAAGAGCAAAACTGTGTTTCCTCGATCCAAATGAGACAAAACATTCATGTATTTGACATTATTTATGGTGTCTTTCTGCTAGGTTTTATTTGCATGTGGTGGATGTAATTAAAGTATATAAGAACAATGTTTTGCTCTTCAAATATCGAAGTGGATTGACTGGTGTGTGAATATTATTATGTCATCATCCAACATGTACAACGGTGGGGGCTCCGCCTTACACATACTATATTCAGATATATATATATAAAAAAATTATACGTATGACCCACATAAAATTTAATAATTACCCATATAAAATGTGATGTTCATCTTTTTTTTTTTACTAGTTTACTAGTCATTGGACAATTACACTATGTTGCATGACGATNAAAAAAAAAAATTATACGTATGACCCACATAAAATTTAATAATTACCCATATAAAATGTGATGTTCATCTTTTTTTTTTACTAGTTTACTAGTCATTGGACAATTACACTATGTTGCATGACGATACCAAAAATTAGTTAATGTTAAGCTCGGACCTTTTAGTTCAGACACTTAAGCTCAGATCTCTAACTCATGATCATTAAATTGGGGTGCATAGATCGGAAATCTCCAATAACCTTACCCTTGTGTACACGATGACAGTGATGGTTAACACCTTCCAAAAGGTCACATTACGCCTAAATAATGTAATCCTTAACAATCAAATATTATGGCACATGAATCGCAACAATATCAAGGGGATCACGTTGATCACGCAAGGATGGTGTTGGTTAAGGGAGAATCATAGAGATCAGACATACAACTGTGCAAATATGTATCAAATCCCTTGCATTTGTAATTAAGCAAGTATATGTGCTTTTATTCCGTATAATGCTATAATCTCATTCGGTCAATTAATAAGAAACTCCCACAAGAGTAAGATACTCCATTAGAGTGGATTAACCAAGTTTCCGAGATAGTAAACTACTATAAATCTTCTGTGATCTTTGTTCTTTATTATCATCTTGAATCAACAAATGAATCCTCAAGAGCCTAGAAGCTCAGATTCGATATCCTAATAATCACCATTAACATCCACGATAAGATCCCCAAATAGTTCATCTTTGCTCAACCGCAAAAAACACTCCATCATTACAATATTGACATAGTATAACCATTTGTTATAAACCCATGAGTAGAATTTGCCCTTAGAAATTAATTTGTAAGGAAAAGGTGTTCAAGAATTTATATACACATATCTAGTTTTATTTTTATTTTTTTTTAGTTCAACGATCAGGAATATTTGAATCAAACCGACGTGAAATCCTAACACCGTTAAACTAAATATTTAATCCACCGGAGGCATGTCCATATCCTTATAACGAACATTTTTAGGGTTAAATCGGAAGACTTCATGAAATAAGCTGATTCAAGTAATTTCAAAGTCATGTTAACATGACTTAAAAATTGATATAAATAGTGATTTTATAATGGGACCACTTAAATGATTCAACAATATTCTTATAATTATAATTGTTGACTTTCTTTAGATTAACATCGTACCTCACGCATCATTAGATTAGGTTAAATTTTTTAGTTGTAATAGTATTATTCAAAACTTTGTGTTGTAATATTTTTTTTTGGACAGTAAAATAATCTTATTAAACTAAAAAGTAAGATATTCAATGAAGTCTATATCGTTAAATAACCATCAACTCAAAAAATTTAAAATATTAGAGAGAATGTAATTTTAGTATTTACACTTTTACGTGGTGTGCAAGTTAGGTTTGAACCTAACACGTGGAATTCATAGGATTTATTGTTTTAATACAATGTTCAATAATTATTTACTCCAAAAATTTAAATTGTTGAAAAAAGTGTAACTTAAAGTATTCATACTTCAATACATATAATGTCCACACTCACGAAGATATACAGAATACTCAAAGAGTTCCTCCCTTTACACGTCAATTAACTATACTATAATTGGTAACCCTATTATTTGATATTAAGTAAATTAATTATTATCCAAATCAAATAATTGTTCGGTGCATATAGGATGGAAATTAGGACTGTGTGTACCCAAGAAAATNACACTTTTACGTGGTGTGCAAGCTAGGTTTGAACCTAACATGTGGAATTCACAGGATTTACTGTTTTAATACAATGTTTAATAATTATTTACTTCAAAAATTTAAATTGTTGAAAAAAGTGTAACTCAAATTATTCATACTTCAACACATATAATGTCCACACTCACGAAGATATACAGAATACTCGAAGAGCTCCTCCCTTTACACGTCAATTAACTATACTATAATTGGTAACCCTATTATTTGATATTAAGTAAATTAATTATTATCCAAATCGAATAATTGTTCGGTGCATATAGGATGGAAATTAGGACTGTGTGTACCCAAGAAAATTAAACGGGCGCTCTAAGAGACTCGTATACTTTCAAATTCTCAAATATGAACTATGTGTACCCAAAAAAAATTAAACGGGTGCTCTAAGAGACTCGGATACACATTAGTCATATGTGTCTCTATTACGTACATCGTCGAAATGGATCAGTTGACATTCACACTAATAATTTAAGTCTAGAATATGCATGTCCCATGATTTTCCTCTTCTAGAAAATGGATATGCCACATGAAAATATATTTTCTTAATTAGAAAATAATAGACAACTGATCACTGTGATAATTTTTTTGCTTATTTAATTAAGAAGTTCTTTTTTTTTTTTTAAACTTCTTCACCATAGGAAGAAAATAATATGGGTGCCGATATGTATACATACATACATAAATACAGACACACACACGCATCTATATATATATATATATGTAGTGTGAGAAGTAAAGAATGGATGGACTCAAGAAGGGAAGATTCTTGGCGTAGAGAATTATCGACAGAGAGGGTTGTGAGGGCACGTAAGGGTCAATGACAGCATATGCATTATTAGCAGCAGTTAGTGAGCCAAAGCAAAGCATCCTTTTCGTATAAATCCTTTGGTTGCTAAACTTGATCTGATGGCTTTCCTTCTCCTTTGTAACTTGTTTGTGTTCATACTCTTCTGCCTGTAAGCTTCTGCCTATAATATTTATTATTACAGGATTCAGAATCAACTAGATGATCTGTCACCTAAGCTTAGCAGAAATTGAGCAAGAATGCCGGTGAAGATTCTATTTATCTCTTATTACATTTGTTTAAACTTTGTTTGATATACGCTCCACACCACAAGCAGCTCCCCACCCCCCAAAAAAAAAAAAAAAAAAAAAAGAGAGAGAGTTGAAAAATTATTGAGCATAGCATGTTATGTGGGTTGAGCTCCACTTTCTGTTATGATTAATCATTGAATACAATGTACCAACATGGAGAGCAACCGTTAAATATCTGGAGATGTTAATGAATCTACATACTCTAGCTTGATTCGTAAAATAATAAATGTTACTTGTACTTAATTAGATGTCTAATGCATTGCGACCTTTAGTTTAGTATTTTTTTTTTGATTGTACGGTGAAATCCTATGGCCTGTCTTCATTGAATAGAGACGCATTTATGTGGCTCAGGCTCGTGACTTTGAGTAGAACTAAGGGCAAATCCGGGTGTATGAACCGGTCTCTCAACTCATACACAATTTAAATCGCGACTTGCGTTTTGCTGGGAACGGTTCGCTCAA